CCAGTTTGAAAAATTGTGCGCACGACTTGCAAACTGGTGCGCATGACTTAAACATGGCGCATTACTTTCAAAATGGTGCGCACGACTTTCAAACTCGAGCGCACGACTTCCTCAAAAATGGTGCACACGACTTTTAGAATGGTGCGCACGACTTTCAAAAACTGGTGCGTATGACTTTGAAACTCGTGCGCACCAGTTTGAAAGTCATGCGGACCAATTTTGAAAGTCGTGTAACAAATTTGAGCTTTCTAAAAATCTGTGGACTGCTTCGCTCTATCCTAATTTAAGGTAATATGTGTGCATGTGGTTGTTGAATTAGTATTCTGGAGGTGTGCCTCTCTGCAGGTGTGCCTAGATTGGCAGAAGTTATAAAATACAGATAATGCATTTTTGTAAACATTGTATAGGAACATTGTTTAGCAAAACAAATCGTGCATATTGCAGATTAACAAAGCAAATAAACACGTATTAAGAATTGATATTTCAATAATTTATGAATTTAAGTGTGCAATATATGCATTATAAAACGAACATGAATTAATGACAGTTGATCGGAACTGAAATACACATAGTTAATTTTCCGGCATTTGATGTCTTATCCTGAGACGAGAAAAGTCTGTAATTCTTTATCTCATTTCTCAATCGATTTATGAATTTCGAACAGCGGTATACTACTATTGCCTTTATTTAAGCCAATAGCTGTTGCTGTATCTCAGCCGCATCATAAAGCAACCAATCAGAATCTATATGTGATTAGTAATTATTTCAAGATGGCGTGTATATCGACTGAAACTAATAGCTCCGCACCGTGATGCTTAGCAATGAATTAAATTTACTACAATACAAACAGTTCTTAGCTCTCTGTTAGAAAATGTAATTTAAACTTGTTGCAATGAAGTTAGTATAAAATTTGTCAAAGAAAGCTTTTAGAATTATTTTTTTAATTTGTCTTTTGACTTAGATTCATGATGCATGTCTCTACACCATATTAAGCATGCGAAGCGTAACAGTTTATAAGTAGTTCTGTTGTTCTCATATATGCATTTGATACGGTGCATTTATTATAATGTATATTTCAGATTCCATTTATGAAAATCTATAGAGCAGAGAATTTTTAATTTTTTGTATCAATTTAATATATAAATTCAAATAATTTTTCACTTCAAACGATCACGTAAAACTTCTTTAAAACTTATATAGGATGTATAGTTCAGTGCCATCAAAAAAAAAATCCAAGGTAAAGTGCTAATCTCTTCTTCACAAATATTTCGAAATGACAATTAAACACTATTCAATTGAATCTCGAGGAAATTGAAGGAACCATCCGAAAACAGTTATAAATTTGTAAATGATTGATTTACTTTCAATTTGTATATAATTTTTTCCTGGATTAACTTACTTATGTAGTCAGAGGCGGATTTTTATATCTATACCTATTTCTTTTCTTTTGTTTTCTTTTAGTTTTGGGGGTGCTGGGCCACAACTACATATATGGTAAATGCATAAACTTTTTTCAAATGCTACTCCTAACGTTGTCATGCTACTCCACCCTTTTCAGAATCTTCGAACTTCAACTGGAAGTTAATTACTAATCTATACTATTAAATGAGAAGACCTCATTTTGTGTGTCGCTTCTCTTCCTTCCACATTAAATCAATCATCATGCTTGTATGTCCTATAGGTATTATGCATATTCGCATTTGTCATCCTCGCTTATAAATATTTCGTTTGGTTTTTTTTGGGAGAAAAACGAAAATAAAGACGTCCGGATATTGTTTCCGTCCTCGAACTGACTTTTAAGTCATAGATAAGACTTCCGTTTAGGACTTAAACTTACACATTATTTTCATAGGTACAAGGGGACAGGACAATTATTTTCGCGTTTTTCTGTATACTATGAACAAACATACATGTATACTGTATAGAAACAGTGTATTTGCTATTTGCTATCAATTCCAAGTTTAATTCCATGGATTGATAATAAATACAAAATAAACTGTATTTATATAGTATATGTTTTATGTATGTTCATAGTTTACAGAAAAAAAAACGCTAATATAATTGAAATTAACAGAAAACAACAAAAAAATAACGGACTTTGAAAAAAGGGGGCGGGCTAAAAAAATTGTACTGTCCCCAAGTACCTTTGACTTTTGATAACTTTCCTGAAATACTCCAGTCATAAAATCTTTTACAAAAATTCATCCTACAACAGTTTACATACCATCAACAACGCTGTTAATGCCCGCGATTTCGCGGGTGTGTTCTAGTATATTTTAATTCTACGATGCAAACCTATCTTACGACTTCTTTAGACTTTAATGATAATTACTGTGTCTGGTCTTTTCTGCTACTTATTTATGGAGTACCTGTACATCGCATAAATTCACGTCAATCGTTTTATACCAGCCGACTGTCCCTTGTATAGATAAATGCATATTCTTTTTTAAATCCTTTTAAGAAGCTTGTATTATGGCATCTACAATATTTTACAGTTCGTGACAAATTTATGCAGACAAAAGCGTTGAAAATAATATATGATGGGAGGGGGAGTATTTGTGTTTTCCTAAAAAGTACTGCATTTTTTTTTCTTTAACTTAGTGCACAGTATTATTTAGGAAGTTGAATCATTTTGACAGACATATTTATTTTTTCTGATTTGTTCCACCTTTTGAAAAAACAGCAGATTTTTTTCACAGATATTGAAGTGAATTACACTTAATTGCATTCATTATCCGATACCAGATCTTTCACGATCCGATCGCAATGCTGGACCACCGTTAGTTTTCTTTCACGATCTTTGTTCTCGATATACCGAATGACACCCGTGTTACTGTTGTTATTTGATAAAAAAATTAACGCGAAGTACCTACATATCTAAACATAACAATCACTAAGAGCGTTTATTGTTGGTGTTTATGCTTACACCAGTATCTAAGACTGCTATTTTGGCTAATAGAATAAGATTGCAGTACCTTCACTCAAAACTGTAGACATTTACGACTGTGTTGCAAAACATTAAAAATATGAATTATATTCAGAAGACACAGCTTCAAGTGCAGAAAATGGATATTGTCAATAAAAATAATGCAGTTTCTATGTTGCATTTGGACTATACTCAATTGAATCTGGGTAAACGTTGATCAACAGCAGCTGCACACACATCTTATATGAAAATTAAACGACAAAGGCCTTAATAATGTATTCCTATTTTATATAAGAATACATTAAGTCTATGTTGAATTTATAAACTTCATGTTTATACGGAGAAGATCTACATACATTGCATATTGCGGAGATTGTTCAGTGTCCATTGTCGACGGCCGTATCGTAGGTTGATTTCTGTGTCTGTTCGTTTATTGATTGTTGTCTCATTAACGCCTTGTCATCGAGAATGTGCATATGTAAAATATTTGCCATTGGATATTAAAGCTATGATACTTTCCAGGAGCGGATCCAGCCATTTTAACAAGAGGCTCTTAAGAGCCTGAATCGCTCACCTGTTTTTTTTTTGCTTAAATCTTTCATCAATGATTATTTTTGCTTTTTACCCATATGTTCCATTTTAGCCATAGAGTCTATGTTTCTTGACGTACAAGGAAATGAAATACAAAATTTATACTAGATTCATTTGAGAAGATTTTGAAAGTTAAAAAACATAAAACAACTTGTGTAAAATTGTCCTTAAAGGGCAATAACTCCTTAAGGGGTCAATTGACAATTTTGGTCATAAACTTTTTTGTAGATCTTACTTTGCTGAACATTTTTGCTGTTTGCAGTTTATCTTTATCTTCAATAATATTCAAGATAATAACAAAAAACTGCAAAATTTCCTTAAAACAACCAATTTAGTGGCAGTAACCCAACAACGGGTTGTTCGATTTGTCTGAAAATTTCAGGGCTGATAGATCTTGACCAATTGAACAATTTTACCCATGTCAGATTTGCCCTAAAAGCTTTCGTTTTGGAGATATAAGCCAAAAACTGCATTTGACCCCTATGTTCTATTTTTAGCCATGGCGGCCATGTTTGTCGATGGATCAAAACTTCGGATACAATTTATAAACTAGATACCATAAGGAACATTTAGTTTAAGTTTGAAGGTATTTGGCCCAGTAGTTTCAGAGGGGAAGATTTTTGAAATAGTTTACGACGACAGACGACGACGACAGACGACGGACGCCAAGTGATGGCATAAGCTCACATGGGGCCCTTCGGGCCCCGGTGAGCTAAAAAAGGGGTGGGGGTTCCCAACCGAGGATAAAGGGGGGGGGGGGGGTTGGTTCCAACTATATGTCCCCATTCAAATGCATTGATCGTCCAAAAAAAGGGGGGGTTCCAACCCATCGGAACACCCCCCTAAAGGACCCGCCACTGAACTTTCAGTACATATGACTTTGTTATAATTATCTGGTTTATGTTTATGTAAAGGGTTGACTTGGGTTTAAAAATATGGTCAAAGTAAAACCGAAATAAATCAGTGCGTCCGTTATTTTGTGCAGGATGTATAAATATACAGCCACGTTCTTTCAGAATAGGGAATTTGATTATTCGTGTACGGAGAGTCTGAGTGGCAAGTAATGTGTCCAAGTACCCAACAGAAAATTGTATATAACTTCTTTACCTATGGCAGTGTGTTTGGTGTAAATTATTGGAGCGTTCCATGTTCTCGCAAAAGGAGCATTATTCATTTTAAATGTTCCGTTATGTACTAATAATGTTTTTTTTTGTAAAGTTATGTAAACATAAGTTATATTGAGGCGGCAAAACATTTGAATTATGCAATATTTTACCTTTCATTAGTTTAAACTTAATTCTAATTGGATATGTTTTACTTCTATGGTTGTTGCTCTATTTGTTACTGAAAACCATAAGCATGCTAAGAAGAAATTACTTTTCGTTATTCAGTAAATTTAGTTGACCATTTTGATATTTGTTTATTTTTTTATGGGTATACGTTTGCATATGGGATTTTGAAATATCTGTTTTAAATAATTCAGGTATCTAGCTAATATGCATCTCATTAAAAGTACCAGTCTACCAGTTCAAATATATCGTTTCTGTGATAAACTCCGGTTTGTGACTCGATATTCAACAGCAGCAGCAACTTCAAATTCAACAATTCATAAAGAAGACATTTCAAACGTTTCATTTAATTAGCTGTTCTATTATGTGCATTCCCCTATCACACTGAAAACATAGACAACAGCAAAAGTAGGCGAGACACTGGGTTCCGCGGAACCCTTACGAATTTTTGTTTTAAAGTCTGGAATAAATTTGAACACGATAATGACTTTACTATCGCTATTTAAAAAAAAAAAAAAAAAAAAAAAAAAAAAAAAACAACCCTCAAAACTTGATGTACATTGACCGCGCGTAACGTCGCACGATGAAGTCCCGATCTTCAGAGGGGAATATGATGCTCTGAGTGGAATATGAACATTTGTAACACAATTTGTTATTTGATTAAATTACTTTTGAAATATTCTCAAAAATGTAGAAACCTGACGGAGACAAATAGACCTATCTTTAATTAGAAGTTAAGATTTGCTTACTACTCATTTTCATCAACATTATCAGATGAAACCTTCTAAAAAAAATTTGTCCCTTAATTGTGATTTCTTTCCAGTCTTACAATAAATTGGAGGAAACTGATTAAAACCAAAAATATCAAATCTACAAAAACTCGTGATGCTATACAGTGACGCTATAGGACTAATATAATCTATTAACTTAAGTGAATTTTAAAAGAAAATGTTTGACAATTTTTTTCTGCCTATTATTACATGTAGATATCAACATCACTAACAGAAACTGTGTACGTGTATATGGCAGAGTTATTAGGAATACTATATGTTCATACCAATATTAAATGTTGCCTTGAAAACAATAATAAATCGACAGAAATTGCAAACAGCAAAAATTATCAGCAATACATAATCTACAAAAAGGCGAATATAACCAAAAACAGTAATTGCCTCTTATCGCCTAATAAGAGTTTCTGGCCTAAAAAGATGGACGGTATTGACTTATTTTACACAATTTCACGTAGAAAGCCACAATGTCTGTAAACAGCGAATATGTCAATATTACCGTATCGTAGTTTGATTTCTGTGTCCGTTCGTTTTATTGAAGGTTGTCTCATTGACGCCTCATCATCGAATATTTGCATATGTGAAATATTTGCTACTGGATGTTAAAGCTATGATACGTTCAGTACATATGACTTTATAATAATTATCTGGTTTATATTTACGTCAAGGGTTGACTTGGGTTTAGATATAAAGTCACCAGTAAAATTGACGCAAATCAGGGCGTGTGTTTGCTGTGTGGGATGTATAAATACACTGATACGTTCTGTCAAAATATGAACGTTGAATAAAATGCTTCGTGTACGGGGAGTGGTAAGCTTCATGTGCATATGTACGTTCAAGAACCCAAAAGAAAATTGTATCAACTTCTTTACCAATGTCTGAGGTGTTTGCTTTAAATTGTTGGAGTTCAAGTTATCTATACAATAGTCGTTCTCACAAAAGAAGCATTTTTTATTTTAAATGTGGTATATACTAACTGTTTTTTTTCAAGTTTTGTAAATATAAATTATTTTGAGGCGACAAAACATTTAAATTGTGTAAGTTTTCATTTAATGTAACCATTTAATGACTTGTTGAGTCATTGCCCTTAAATATTATTTTATCCGTGTTTGCCTATTATTTTGAAAAGTATAATAGATAGACAGATACTGTTGAATCGAAAATCCTCAAAAATGTCATTGTATGAAAGCACCCATTGACTCTTTATAAGATTGATTGACTGATTTATGTTTGCTCTACGATCGGGATGGTGGACTAGGAATTTGATTTCCACTGGAATAAAGGTATATTGGGTAGTGACAGAAATTTTGCCTCGCAACAGGTCAACTTCTTACTCCTCCACAAGTTGTTACAAGGGACCTTAACGTGCAGAGAGCGTGGCGCTTTATCTACACAAGGCATTAGTTTTAACGTCCCCATTCTGACTGGACGTGGATGCGTATTTATACATCCCGCACAGTCAAACGGACGCCGTACTTTGGCATTCTAAGAGTTAACTAGCTATCTACATGTAAGCGTTATCACTTAATGTACTCAATTTAAAGGGTTAGCATAAGATAAACAGTGAAAGAAATGATTAAAAAGGTGTTATTTATTTCTCTTTTGTAGGCCCTTACACCATAAATGACATCACAACTGTGATTGATAATCTTAAGAACAAATATGGCGATATTATGCGACTGCGCATGGGGAAAGACTTTGTTGTGTACATATCACATCCTGACTTGGCTAAAACCGTGTTCCAATATCCATACCAAGAACATGTTAGAGTTGGTCTCGATATAATGGAAGTGTACCACAAGAGAACTGGAACCAAAAAAGGACTGAGTTTATTGTAAATATTAGATAACCGACATGCATATCATTTGTATTTTACAATTTAGTGAAGTTGTCAAATAATATCAAAACGGAAAACCATTTCAAGCGTCTAATGAACTGTGTAAAAGGACTCATATTAATATTGGGAAATTTACTAATACATGTGATTTGTAATATAACTTGTGTTTTGTATTGAATGGTAACAAAATCGGTTAAATCATTTGCATCTCTGTTTTGTAGTACAAATACATTTCCCTTGTCATACATGCATGTCATTTCAAACACTCAGTCTTAAGCATATTTTAGGACAAAGTTTTATCTGAAGATGAGAAAAATGCAGAAACTAAGTGATGTACATACAACTATTTTCTCCTTACGTAGGATATTTGTTCGAATTATTAATGTCTGTTCGCTTTACGGTCAGTGGCAAATGTTTCATGCATAATCAGAACGAGAGAAAAATAAACAACAAATCAGACATTATATTCCCGACCGGAATAAGAGACGGGAAATTTGGACTGCAATTATATTAAAGTTTAAAAAAAGGATAAAAACTGTGCCATGACACATGCCAAGAACAGACTCGTCAAAATGTTTACGTGTTTTAACACGTCACTCTCCCAGCACTGAGTATAGGAGTTAATGTCTACATTTCGACTGGAAGTAGATTAAATGCACCTCCACTTGGCATTGGTCTCACTGTCGGACGGGATTAGTCAACGTAACCACGTGTTAAATTCCTACATGCTCTTAAAGTGTATTTTATTTTAAATATATCGTTAGCATCAGAAAAATTCAACTGCGAACAATATATACCGATACCATTCATCAAAGCAATATTTGTCGCATTCCTGATAGATTATCTTTATAGTACTTAATCGTGAACACTTTCTTATAATTTTAGGCAAGGAGAAGAATGGTTAGCGTTACGACGGCCAGCCCAAGAAAAGATGCTCAAACCTACAGTGGTTGCTGATTATGTTCCTATGATTGGAAATGTTACTAATGACTTTGTAAAACGTCTAAGACAACAACATACAGTGACAGATTTACTGGAGGAACTCTTTAAATACACCACAGAAAGTACGAAGTTTTATTAATTTTGTATCGATCTGATGAGCCCAGCTCTTTTCAATTGATTTTTATAGTATATTTTAATGTTGTGTTATACTTCTGTCCCAGGTAAGGGGAGGGTAGGACGCCCGCAAATAGGTTTAATCCCGCCACATTATGTATGTGCATGTCTTATTTCAGTAGCCTGGAATTCAGTGATTATTGTTTACCGCTGTATATCATAATTGTTTTTTTTTTGCTTTTTGCACATGAACCAGGCCGTTAGTTTTCTTGTTTGAATTGTTTTACATTTGTCAGCTTTAATAGCTTGTCATGCGGTATGGGTTTTGTTTATGGTTGAAGGACGGACGGCGACCTATAGCGCTGCTAGTATCGACGTCATGTCGTCTCTTGTGGATATTTGTCTGATTGACAATCATACCACATCTCCTTATTATGTATAAAAAAAATATCAGTTCTTTATTCAATATCAGACTTAAGCATGCAAATCCTGTTGAATGTTTCAATATTACGTATACATGTATAACTTTGACGGAAAAAATGGTACGTCTTAAAAATAACAGCAAATAAACCCAAACAACATTTGAGATAATGAGTGGATGCAGATGCGACAACATGACAATACCCATGCCAAGAACATAAACGTAGAGAAGTGACCCACAATGATCATATCATAAACTCATAACAACTCTGTTAAAGTAAATTATTATATAAAAGTAAATACTGAAAAGAAATAATTAAAAAATGACAAATCAGTTATTGCTTCTTTCAGGCGTAGGAATGTTGTGCTTTAATAAGAGATTGGGATGCCTCGACAGCTCTCCAAATACCAAGTTGATCAAAGCGCTAGAGGACATGTTTACAACAATGCAACAATCATTTCTTCTTCCATTTCCAACATATAAATTCTTCCGAACTAAAATGTACACAGCCTTTGAAAGAAGTCAACAGGTTTTAAATGAGTAAGTTTCATAATCTCGTATAATGTCAAATCAGCAATCTGTTCAACATGTCACGTGACTGATTTTTCTGCACAATCAGCACTAAACTTTTAAGCTGTTGACATTTTCGAAATGTAAGACAATATTTATAATTCGTTATCCATCATTTTACACTAATGACATTTTTTTTAATTCAAGAAGTGTGTTTTGTTTCATTTAATAATTTAAATAGACCTCAATATTTGATGGTGCATTTATATTTCTCGGAGAGCAAGTACAGAGAGCAGACTTGTATCTTTTTTCAAAATCAAATTATTACTGATATTAAAAAGATCAATAATATCACAACGAAAGATTGATTGACTGTTTGTGTTAAACGCCACTTTCACTCTTGACTATATCGTAGAAGCCAGTTTTTATTGGTGAAAGAAGCCTGAGAGAACCATCGACCTTCGGCAAGAAAACTGGCAATCCTAGTCAATTATGATCCGAGTCGAACACACCTACCACGTGCGGGGTTCGAACTCACAACCTCAGTGTTGACAGGCTAGTGATACTGTAGAAAAACTACTTGGACCCCTCGGCCACGGAGGCCCATCACACACTGAAAGAAAAAAACATCTTAACATAACATCTCTGCTCTAAGCCACCATTAACAGGACTAAGAATGAAGCATTTGAAATAATACTTAATAAAACATTAATTATATTAACAAATTTTCTGTAGATACCCTTTTTTAATTTAATGTAATTAAGTTGGCATTGAGTATGTTCCGGACCAGATGAGTATTTGGACCATACACGTATGATCATGACCATCTGCGTATATACTCATATGGTCCGGGTAATTAACATGACGAACGTTAAAAAGGTGTTACATAAATTAAGAGTTTCTAAAAATAAGATTTTGACTTATTCAATCACACTGTTACATGATTATTTTAATAAAGAGAATATTACTTACAAGTGAGAATTATGGTGAAATAACTTTTACATGGTCATTATCGATTTGTCCTTATGAAACGCAATATGTCGACTTTGAAAAATAAATTCAAGAAATATATCTAAATGAAATGAAATAAATCAATTGCTTATCTCACAGGAACTTTGATCATTGAACCCTATTTCTTTTCTTTTCTTTTAAATTTATTTTGATGTTTAAATTTTGCTCCTCTTCATGCGATCTAACAATGACAGTAAGATCTTCTCAATAAGAGCAAGAACACACCAATTAAATGAAAATAATCAGAAATAAGAAGAAATTTTGTGAATAAAAAAAGTTAATTTAAACACAAGAAAAGAGAAAAAAAAATTCGATGCCCCAAACGCATGCAGTTTCAATTACGAACAAATATTGATAATATTAAGACGATTTAAATTGACTCTAACGAATGCAAGATAACAGATACACCATGATTCATACAATGTGTAAGTAAAAGATAACGGACTTCATATAGTAACTTGTGCCGTATTTGGTCTAGAGAATGAGCTGTATGTTCCTGCAATGAAGTAAGAATTATTCGAAAAATACCTATACGGTCTAAATACTCATATGGTCCTGCCTGTGAATAACCAAACGAGTATAATACTCATATGGTCCGACCATACGCGAATGGTCAATCCATACGCGTATACGCATATAGTCATGACCATACGCGTATGGTCCAAATACTCAAATGGTCCGGAACAAGTATATGTGAACGATTAAATTATAATTTTTTTTGATAATATTTGATTAACAGGATAACACACAAAGAGATTGAAGATCAAGTAATGGTTCTAACGAAGCTGAAGGAAGAAGGTAAACTGGATGATTATCTCTCAAAAGATCCGAATTTCATGCACTCATTGCTGTCGGATCCTAGATTGTCCAAAGAAGACGTGGTCGGCTTGATAACATCATTGTTTGGAGGAGGAATAGATTCGGTAATAGACATGACCGTATCGTTGATATTGTAGTGATGTAATATATCGTATGTGTTCAATTATTGTTATATATACAGGCATACCGTATTTGCAATTATTTATACAAGTTTCAATTTAAAAATTTTTATTGAAAAAATCTCTGCTATTTGGGGAAAAGGCCACAAATGACATTGGTAGATGTACAATATATATAACAACAAGACTTAGAGAAGGTTTACTGTTACCATAGACATGTAGAATGTCATTTTCTGTTATTTGAATATACAAAAAACTTTCAATTGTGTTTTAAACTGCTTGTATCGATGATCACTACATACGTGTTTGGAGAAATAAATCAAGAAATGGCACATATATAACGTATGAAACCTACATATTTAGATCCTATATATTTGTAACTTAAATCGTTTATTTTGTATGTGTGTGTTTGTGTGTGCTTCTTTAGAAAAAAAGGAAGTTTGATATATATTTTTCCAATTCATAATATACATTTCAAATTTCCGTTCTCGCTTGTTTTACCTTTTTTTTTACATGCTCCACATTTTGCTTTTTACGAACAGACTGCGAATGGTATGGTATTCGTTCTAACGGATTTAGCATTAAACCAAGACAAACAAGAAATATTAAACCAAGAAATCCAACAAGTGTTAGGTGACCAGCAGACTGTGACGAAAGAACATTTATCAAAAATGTCTTACTTAAAAGCATGTGTTAAAGAATCGCAAAGGTAAGGTTAAATATAACTGGACTACTGGACTGTTCAAAATACAGTTAAGCAGCCGACATCTCGATATGAAATAAAACATTAATGTGGTCAAATAGTACAATGAAGAGTCTGATTGAGTAATATCCTACAATAAAAGATGAATCTGCAAATGTCCACTACATTTTCGAATTAACCAATGAATTCAGTACATTTAAAATAACAAGGGAATACTCAAGTATTGTACTTGTAAACCCCATCATGCATTTTAATTATGGTTTTTGGAATAACATTTGCGGTACCAATTTTAGTGCATCAGATGCGCATTGCGAAAATTAAGACAATCATTGTCTTCTCGAACGATGATGTTCGAGGATGGAGATATTTAAAAATCCAAATTATTATACAAACGTTAATGCAACAGACGAATAAACTTTTTTTTGCATCGTTATTGTACAAATATATCATGATATTGCCGCAGTCGTCTTTCCGTTGGTTTGTCTTTTGTCGTCTGTATAACCCTTTTTATAAAGTTTCAAGTGCTTTTCTGACCTTATTTGTATTACATGTATACGATTGTATGCGTTGAGTACTAAAAAAGTAGTTTTAGCGATCCACTTGTTGATGTATACGTCCTAAACGAAAAAAAAAACCTTGATCAGATTAGAGGAGGATTCAGTGCTTGTCGTTTGTTGCTTTATATCATTTTTGTATATAATTTATTGTTTTGTACATAAATCTCGTTTGTTTTCTCGTTTTAATTGTTTTAAATATGTCATGTCGGGGTCTTTTATAGCTTACTAAGGGTGTTGCTCACTGTTGATTGTCGTACGGTGACCTATTATTGCTAACTTCTACGTCATTTGGTCTCATAGAATTTGCAACTATTATAGGTCACCTATAGCAAGCTATAAAAGGCCCGAAATGACAATTATAAAACAAGTCATACGAGAAAACTAACGGCCTGATTTATGTAGAAAACAATAAACGGAAAAAAATATGACATAAAGGCTTTTAGCAAAAAACGACATCCCCTGAATTACAGGCTCCTGACTTGGCTCCGGCTCATACAGAATGGCAAGGTTAAACATTTACACATGCGTCATGTTTTCACTTCAAACTATATGTACCTCTTTTCCGTATCGTATACATCTGCTTTAAATGTGAACATGGAAACTTTAAACATTCAAATGTTGATTTTCCGAGGTATATGGTGCTTATCATTGTTTCTTATTCATTACTGGACCAAGAATTCGAATATCTGAAAGGAACTTTAATATGAATTTCTCTTATTTGTTTTTCTACTTTTGCAGGAAAGTATTTCCAGTATTATTTGGAGCTGCTAGAGTTACAGAAAATGATTTGGTTGTTGGTGGATACCAAATTCCTAAAAACGTAGGTTACAATTATGGATTGTCACTAAATTCACTGATTCATAAATTTTTCATACTGACCATTTATAATGTGAGAACGTTTTAATGTTTTTTTGTTTTTTTTTGTGCAGAGAGCAAACAAAAAAGTCAAATTAAACATGAACCTTCATACGAGATCCCCAACGATGGATTTAGAGCACAATATATAGAATGAGATCACATATTAATACACATCTGGTGGATAATGGTCCCACTGACAATCATACCATATCTCCGTTTATTTATATATATGTGTCATCATATGTCATGGAAATTATAAACTTAATCACATGAATACGTTTGTAATAGTCTCTGACAAAAAGCCATTTAAGGTCACGTATAAACAAAAGTATGAACTTTTTGTGCATAGAAAATAAAACACGAGAATTTTTTTTTCAATTCTAGATGCTAGTTATTTTAAATAATATGTGCATGTGCAATGACGAACGATTTTATCCAAATCCAAAACAATATATTCCTGAAAGATGGATGCGTAAATATAAAGATGAAACGATTGCGAAAGGAAAAGATTATCCATTCGGATTTAAACCATTTGGATTTGGTCCACGAGGCTGTGTTGGTCAAAGGTTTGCTGAAAATGAAATTTACATAGGAGTCGCCAAGGTATTTATTTAAATCAGTGCAGCCCAATTACTTTTCATATAATTGTAAATTTTGACATAAAACTATTAATTAGACACATGTAACCACATTGTAAAATATAACCTTAAGTGATCGGACCACTACGGGCGGTCTCAATGTAACGTGTGGTCTCGAGAGGCCGAGATCACAGGTTTGATCTCGGACGTGTCAAAGCAATGACTTTTATATTGATTCATTTGTAAATGTTTGCTTATCGTTCCGTCGCAATGTCATGCATCGCCAGAATGGGAATTTGAAAATGATAGTCTTCCTCTTATCCACAAAACATGTGACCTTTAGGAGGCATAATCATGATTTCTTGTCAACAGATTTCTTCCTCTAAATTGTTTCTTATAAGCTAGCTTTTAAAAATCCAACAAGGCCTGTCGATTTAGCAAAAACAGGACATTTCATCATCCAAAAACATGAAATTGTCATTATGTTTAAGGTGTTCAAAATATTTGATGCATGATCAATCATGTAATCAATCAATCAACCAATCAAACACGTGATAAAGCTCGGTTTAAGAGGTTCATTAACCTATTGAGTTTTTTTTTTGCACGAGTTACACTTATTCAACAAAAGTATTTTCGAATTGGTTCGTGTTGCTTCAATGCGGAATTTATAAACGGGGAAAATATTTTTGTTTACATAAATCAAAGGACAGAGAGTATGCGTGAACAAAATTAGACAAAACGTCACTGTGATAGTCAACAAAACAGTAGAACAAAAACATAAAATAGAGCAACACAAACACTGCCAAAAAATGAATGTACATAAAATAATTGTTTTGTCTTTTTCTCAGTGAATACAAACCAGAGACCTAGCATATTGATATCTATGTATCTGTCTACGTGTTTGCCAGTAGTACTAATTGGTCTTTCTTTATAAACGTCCACATCCATTTATCACAAAAAAGTCCATTCAGTCAAGTGAGAAATGATTAATATCTATGAGTAATATCTAACAATTCAGCTTGATTTTACCTTTTTCACCGAAAGATCAAGGAGACAAAGTCTAGATTCCAATAGTTACGTAGAAATCATAACACCAATTAAACTCCAAACGAAAGGGGACAAAGCGCAGAAGAATGTTACGATCACTTCATCTAGATAAAAAGCGAAAACGTCGAATGCGCATGACTAAGGACTTATTCTTCGAGAATACATATACAAAATTTAAATCTGGTAATTGCATGATCCGTTTGCTTTGTGTTCCAAAAACTTAATTATCAAAAAGCAGATTGTTGAGTCATATTTATCAATGAAACATTGTCACACAATCACTAAATCAAATGTTTATGCAAATCTAATAATGTATCTCAACTTTTGATTTCAGATAATACAGAACTTTAAAATTTCTATGCCTTCAGGAATAAAGGAAGTAAAACATGTCAACAGAGTATTTACATCACCATTAGACAAGGTTACTGTACTCCTTACAGAAAGAAACTAGTTTCCATCAACATGACCTTGAACTCGTACAATATTACAAATATATTAATTTAGAGGCTATAATGAACATGTTCAGACCACATGACATTTTTGCAAACAAGTGACACAATGCAATAAGACTATTTCTTGTGGCGGTTGAGCTAAGTGTGCGATGTTTTATTAATAAACATGCTTCATTCGATTTGTAAGATAAATATGCACTTTTGCATAAGAATTTACAATCATTGTGTTTCAGCAATATTTCCTATACTTTTAATTATGTAATGACCATATATTTTAGTCAATAAATGATTAGTCTTATAATTTCCAATTTTTGCTTCACACCGTCACTTTCAGTCGATATACGCGCTATCTTGGAATTATTTCAAAATAACTGTTAGTTCTGATTTGTTGATAATTGATGTTGTTAAGATTCTATTGGCTTGAATGTGTTATAATGTTGGCAACACGTCAGGAAGGGTTGAATTTATAATTTACGGATGGTCTGACAGTATAGGTATTCGAAACCCGATCGATGGATATGTTGTTATTGAATCACATATTGTTGGATAAGCGCTGATAGTAACTAGCAATTATTGGTCTTAAACGGCATTCAAAAAAGTACAACGAAAGAACCAACACACAAGTATAAAACGTCACATGGTAGGTGGACTTTGTTTGACTTAAATATTTGCGTTTATTAAAAATGTATAAACTTTTCTGACTTTCTGTGAATTCAGGTACGAAGAGGAGTCAGAGAGTCAGTTTCGAACTTGTAAAAACAAGAACGGCTACATGTAACTTGTGTGAAATAGTTTATAAATGTGGTATCAATTTGCCTGTCATCAATGTCTCAGATGTTTTTTTTCACTAATCTTGGGCTGTATTTATGAAAGGTGCTTTTAAATTAGTGTTTTTGTTTTGTTAGACGCTTTAGTGTGTTTTTTTTATTAGACACAAGTAGCTGATTCCGGTGTAAACTAAAACACTATGTATAAATGAACCGGAAACCCTTCTGAACTCCAGAAATTCAAGAGCAATAACTCAATAGGAATCAACTGATGATTTGGGCCTTGTTGACAGATTTGTTTATCTCGTCCTCCTGATCATTTTGCAATTTACATATTTTTTTATCTATAATTGTAATAGTTCCAAGATAATAGCAAAAATTAGTAAAAATATTCATAAAGGATAACAACTTCTATAAGGGGTCATGTGGTAGTTTTTGACAGTAGGTAGATCTTGACATTCTGAATATTTCTGCTCCGTCAGGTCCTCTATCTATAACAGTTTAAATGATAATAGTCAATACCTGCATTGCATCCCTGTGTTCTAGTTTTACCCTTTGTGGACTCATCGGTTTGCAGGCGAGGTCATTGGACACATTTGATATACTACATATTAGGTAATTGTGGTGAAAATTAAACCAACTAAATTCAGAGGAGAAGAATTTGGTAAAAGATAACGGACGACGGACGCCAAGTGATAAGAATAATTCACATAACTCTTTTAGCCAGGTGGGCTTAATAGTAAATTATACTATATCCATCTCAATATTTACTGTTTGAATACAAAGCTTAATTCTGAGTCAATTAAACCATTCATTCATTTCTATTAGTTTAAATATACGAACGCCGTGTTTGTTTTTTTATTTGCCATAGCATTGTCAGTAACTCTTCGACTTATGTTTAAGCTTTGAAAATTCTCTTGCTTCTACAGCCTCTTTTAAAACACAAAGTTTGTTTACTATTGAAGTAAGTACTAATGAGTTTGTAACAAAAATAATAAGTATGTATTTCAAATAACAATGATACTGATATCATATTATAAGTATATTTAAATACTTTTTATCCTGCATTAAGTTGTAAATATATGAGAACACGTTTATTAGTACCTGGATCAAAGTCACTGGCAAAGTGATCCTCAGTGTTCGTGTCTTCAGTTTTTCTAGACAGCTTGACTTGATTTTCCACAGAATGTTTTCTATTTGCCACATTTGGTTAGGTAGATTTTAATCCTTCCAAAAATTTATCGAAATCACTATCTGAATCAGAATCGTGTAAATGACGAAGAATCAAGCGATTCTTGTCACCCTCTGTCTCTTTGGTCTGCCAATTAAGACACCATTAACGAGTATAAATATACGGATATAATACCAAACAAATAATAATAATATATCTTAATCATAAAGCAAGCGTTTGCATATTCTTTTTACAATATTGGATAATTGAATCCCTCGCCTATCCAATAAGTTCAGAATGTTTTGGTTTTCGCAGCTATCCTTGCATCTTTGACAATATATCACGGGCTATTTGTTGGATAGCAAAAGACAATTACGACATACCAGTTATACTTCATCTCCTAGATGATTTTCTCACTATTCAACCACCGGACTCTTGCGGATTTAGAACAATGGCGCTAATAACGCTTATATTCAATCGTCTAAATATTCCGATTTCTAAGAAAAAGACTGTGGGTCCCACTTGTACTATCGAGTATCTAGGAATCATAGTAGACACCGAAAATTAGATAACCTAACGAAAAGGTAGAAAGAATTTCAAATTTTATTGACGGTTTTCTTCATAAAAAATCTGTTACGAAAAGAGAATTATTACAACTGTTAGGACATTTTAATTTTTCCGCCAGAATTATTCGTCCGGGTAGATCGTTTGTCAGTTATCTCATTAAGTTATCTACTAAAGTTAATGAACTACATCACTGTATACCATTATCAAATGAATGTAGAACTGACTTTATCTTGTGGCGAGATTTCTTAAAGGTTGGAACAGAGTTACTTTCTTTTATGACGAACATATTACTTTAGCTAGTGACATAGAATTGTATACAGATGCGGCTTCTAACTTTGGTTTCTGAGGGTTTTTCCAAGGTAAATGGTTTAGTAGTACTTGGTATTCTGAACTATCAACTTCACTCGATTCAGACATGTCCATGGCTTTTAGAGAACTGTACCCGATTGTTGTTGCATCTTTATTATAGGGGCACTTATGACCCAAGAAACGTATGATGTTCCACCGTGACAACGAACCGTCGTAAATATATTTAATAAAGGAAGATCTAAAGTGCTAGACATTATGAAATTAATGAGAACACTTACTTGGCTATCCGTTAAACAAAACTTTACTAATCAATGTCAACATATTCCCGGAGTTAAAAATGTGATAGCTGACTCTTTATCTCGCTTTGATTTTCAGACCTTCCAAAAAGCAGTTCCAGCAGTAGAGAAAGAACCCACTCCGTGTCCGAAATCTTGGCAAGTAATGTGGAATTAAATGCAAAAGTTAAACATTTAATTCACAACTCAATCGCAAGCAGTACGCGTTCGCAATACGAACATGGATTTAAACCGTACAAAAACTGTTTGTGTCTATCCGGTTTTAAGTGGGATGATAAAACAGATTTGCCACCTCTAACGGAAGATATCTTAATGCATTACGCTACACATTGTCATGAAAATCTTAAAATAAAATGTTCTACAATAAAACTGTACATTTGTGGCTTAAGATACATATATCTTCAATCCGGAGTACAGTGTTTATTCAGTAGCTGTTGTTCTTCAAAACTGGTTAGATTAGAAAAAATTTACAGGGGTATTAAGAAACAAGAAGTAAAGAGTTCCCAAAAAGACTACCGCTAACTAATGATATAATTAAAAATATGATAACAGTGCTTCAAAAGGGAATATTTTCGCCATTTGTTACTGCACTTATTGAGGCAGTTTGTATCGTCGCTTACTTCGGATTTCTCCGCTGTGGTGAATTAACCGTCAACACGGACTTCGATGCATCTTGCAATCTATGTATAGAAGACATCACTTTCGAGGAGGATTACGCAATATTACATTTAAAGTCGTCTAAAACAGACCCTTTCAGAAGTGGAGTAAATATTTATCTTTTCTAAAACAAGACCTCTTTATGCCCGGTCAAATCTTTAATTAGATACCTCGCTGTTAGAAGATCTAGATTCAGCATAACCTGCAACTCTAGTCCGCTCTTTGTCATGGAAAATGGAGAGGCTCTAACACGTACGTTTTTTATCAATCATGTTCGATCCATCCTGGAAATTATCGGACTCAACCCATCTAATTACAACGGACACAGCTTCCGAACAGGAGCGGCAACATCAGTTGCATCAAAAATTGAAGATCAAGTAATCAAGGTTTTAGGTCGTTGGAGTTCCGCATGCTATACCAGAAATATTCATACTCCAAAATCAACCATTAAACAAGCCCAGCTAGCCTTGCTATCCGATTAGTCTAGTTTTACTATTCAACAGTTTTCTTTTTAGAGTTCATGGAAAATATGTGCGCGATTATACAGTGGCATAATAATCCACTGTTTAGAATGAGTGTTTTCTTGTCAAATACATGTAAGACTACGATTCCTTTTAATGAAATTTCAATTTGATTAATAGGGGCATAATGATCCCCGTCGACTGCAGTGTGTTGCTTTATCAATTGGAAATAACACCATCATTGGAATCAGTGTGTTCATTAGTTTCACTTGTGCATAAGAGTCCACATGTCTGCAATGCTTTTTGACGGGGCACAATAATCCCCTTTCTATGAGTTTGAAAATACTCATCATTGGGACTTGACAATCCGTAGTTATATAATATGTTACTCAACTGAATGTGGTGTACTATTCCCTATATGATTTGAATATATTATATAGAGCAGCATGATAGCGTAGTATGATCGTGTATATATTTATATGTCAAATTCATATGCTTTTTTGTTTTTAACCTATACTTCGTGTCTGACTAGTTATTATCATTAGTGAGTTGTATTTCGAATTTGGATACATATTCTTACTTGAAAACTGAATAGTATGAATATGAAATCATTGACTATATTGAGAACAGTTTCTTTCACAGTCCAAGAACATCTAATAATGCTATTCTTGCTGTTTTTTTGTTCCAATAACACTTCCATCGGAAGTGCTAGCAACTTCAATTTTATAGTTATCATAATCTTATTTTTCATACTCCCTTCAATTTGGGGTCCAGCTGTTCATCGGCCTAATCAAAATATTCAACATTTGTTTTTTGGTTCATTTCGAGTTTTCACTCAAATCACAAATTTACGGGGTATTCAGTGGTCACTAACATCCAAAATTTAGCATAAGTCTTGCCAATATTTTCTGGCTAGAAAGCTCAGACAAAAGCTTATGCTAATTGTTTCGGAGATCGGCTCTCTCTGGCTTTCTACTATATCTTTGGCTACTTATCCGAATCACAGTTCAGATGCTTATCATTCACATGCTTTGGAACCAGGAGAGCGGATAGGGAATTACATAGTGTTTCTG